AAATCCAAAATGGCCACCTTAACATTTACCAAGAATGCCGAAAAACTAATCAGTTCTAAACTTTTATAGGTAGAAACATCCCTGAGAATTTCAAATGAATCCCTCAAACGGTTTGGCTGGAAACCTGTAGACAAGCCTTGACAGACAAGATTTCAGGATGGAAAATCCAAAATGGCCGTCTTAACATTTATCCAGAATGTCGAAAAACTAATCAGTTCTAAACTTTCATAGGTAGAAACATCCCTGAGAATTTCAAATGAATCCCTCAAATGGTTTGGCTGGAAACCTGTAGACAATTAAACCTTGACAGAAAAGATTTTAGGATGGAAAATCCAAAATGGCCACCTTAACATTTACCCAGAATGCCGAAAAACTAATCAGTTCTAAACTTTCATAGGTAGAAACATCTCTGAGAATTTCAAATGAATCCCTCAAACGGTTTGGCTGGATACCTGTAGACAAGCCTTGACAGACAAGATTTTAGGACGGAAAATTCAAAATGGCCGCCTTAACATTTACCCAGAATGCCGAAAAAATAATCAGTTCTAAACTTTCATAGGTAAAAACATCCCTGAGAATTTCAAATGAATCCCTCAAACGGTTTGGCTGGAATCCTGTAGACAAGCCTTGACAGACAAGATTTTAGGACGGAAAATCCAAAATGGCCACTTTAACATTTACCCAGAATGCCGAAAAACTAATCAGTTCTAAACTTTCATTGGTAGAAACATCCCTGAGAATTTCAAATGAATCCCTTAAATAGTTTGGCTGGAAACCTGTAGACACCCAACCGCCTGGCAAACTGATTACAATATACCACCTTAGGGTGATCCATATCTTTATTTTCAAAAAATTGTGATTGACATTAAAATTATCAAATTATTTGGTAACCTTACATTCTACAACAGAATCTGAGTATTTGAATACTTTCTAGCAATTTATACAAACATCATTTAAACACCAAAACAGTAATTTTGAGAGATTTGAAATTTTCTGTGGACCTATATGTCACAACTATAGCAAGCCATCAACTTTATTTGATCAAAATTACTGATTCTCTTAAACCAAGAGGACTTACTACGGTGATGCAGTCGAAATAGATACTTCGTGGGTAGACATAAAATGAATGTTAATACCACTTGTATGAGTGGCAGTTTTAATGTGACCACCAAAGAATAAATGTACCCATGGAATGGACAAATGGATGGATGGATGAATGGGTGTGTGACTGTGTAGGTTTGTGGATCGATGGATGGATTATAAGTAAATTGAAGCGGGAATAATAAAAAGACATACCTGGTCCATGTCAACTTTTCTTAGACTTGAAATAACACCAAGTTGTAAGGTGGAATCATCATATTTTCTCCCCTGTCTTGTCAGAGTCCCAACTGTTAACAATTTTTATCAGTTGCTTAATCAGCTGACATAATCATCTGTAACAGAATACAACATGTAATATAAGAGAATGAACATCATAATGTTACAAAATACCACAGAATAAAACAAATAATGAAACAAAATACAACATAAATATGAAGATAATAGAAATGACATACATGTAATGTGGTGACAGAATTGTTCCAAAATGCAACAGGTTAGGGATGGGTTGGTTCATTATTACACTGATAAATAGCATTTCCATAGAAAATCATTCAAAAAACCAGGATGGTAATTTTGCTTGTATTTTGACATTTTGTTTTGTCCTATTCAACACCACATTTACAGGAAATGACTACAATGCCTTTATCATTGCAATAAACATATTACTGATTCTATTAGGATGCTGTCCATTATCAGCCTTTGTTATATTCATACTAGTGAGGAGAAGAAGGTTGAAAAAAGTTCTCAAATTGATAAAAGACATTTCCTTGAGGACTTTAACTGAGCACAAAATGTACATCTGGTTTGCAGAGACTCAGGTCAGTATTTGCATATTGTAAAATATGACATGAACCCATGTTTGCAGTACATAATCCAACAAATGAATCCAAATGTTGTGTTGTTAGATGTTAATGCTTGGAACCAGAAGATCACAAGACTAGCGTTTCCAATATATGTGGAGCAACTTATCGTTCGGTTTCGGAACAAGAACATTTTACCCTTTCACAACTTCTGGCCTTAAATCTCCACAAAACAGCATTTTTCTTGCAATATTTTGCATCAAAAGAGGTTCATTCTTTTTACTCCTTCTCTTTGAAGAGTTTTGAAGAGCTTTTCGCTACCAAATAGACCTAGATGATCAGATTATTTTAATCGAATACACGCAGTCACTCTGTTCCGAACCGTTCCGAAATTGTTCCGCTTTGAAGCAAAATGTTCCGAACCGAACCGTTCCGATTTTTTTTGTTCCGTGACATCTCTACAAGCTATCAACATTACATAGTACTACATCTTTTGTTTATGATATGAAATGCATAGTTTGCATAAATACATAATGCATAATTATTTGTATATTGTATTCTTAAATCTATTTGATCCAAACTAAACTTAAAGAATAAATAAGTGACATATTTTTGCAGACTAACTTGTACATGAAGGTTTGACTTGGGCTGTAATTTTAGGGACGTGTTTGCAGTTTTGAGTTTCCCTTCCATACTAGATTAGTGTTCTGTTGCTTTTTATTGCCTGGTCTTCCTGATTAAATGTGAATGATTTTCAATATACTTATCATACTCTTCTACTCTTATCATACATCTTCCATTCTTACATCACAAAATCATGGTGCCGACTGTCGGTATACGCAATGGTTTTCAGTACAACGCGTGTCGGAATATTGGTTCTCAGTACAATGAGGTGATCCTAGTCTATATCCAATGATTGAATTTCCGGAGAATTCAGTCTGAATATTTTCATTCCAAATTTCAAAACATTTCAGACTAGAGGATATAGTCTAGAGGTGATCCCAACAAATCAACAATTACCATCCATTAACAATTAACATGAACTAAGAGGCTGAGACTGGCCTGCCTTATCAGTTTGTTATGCCACAGCCTTGAGCCTACACTCAATTTTTTTATTCTGTGAACCAGTTCATATGGTTAAAATAACGAAAGAATGTGATGTAACCACGTATCTACTTACCAGTTTGTTCTAGGTCATCCGTCGGACTAGGTTACATTGTGGAACGCAGCCAAACAAGACACTGAAGGCAACAGCATATCGATCTTGATCTTAGCAGAATTTTTGGAAATTTAGATCGTCCATTTTGCAAGCTCACGTGACTGATCATGTGTCAGGTGTCTGATCACGTGACATGTGTCTGATCACATGATTAGTTACTGTATCGATCATGTAACTGAATGACGTATCGCCCAACCATGTCTTCAAGGAAAACGGTAGTAAATATTTTTGAAAATAGTTCGCGAGCATTTGCTACTGATTATAGAAGGCCCAATTACGCAATGAACGAAACTGCTAAATTGTTTTTCGTGCCTAACAGGCCTGGACACAAACGAAACTGCTAAATTTGAATTTTTAGTCTGCTTATTGATCTATTGATTCATAAAGACATGAAATGATGCATTCAAATAAGACCACCTCCTAAATGAAAACACTACACATAAAGTGGTGAAAAACAACGAACTAAAGTTGAAAGATCGCAACGTTCGCTACTTTGTTCACTTCCAGAAATCTCCAAGGGGCTACAAATGGGAAATTATTTAGATTTTATAACTTCAGAATACTGCCATCAATGTTGTGTTTGTCTGAGTTCCACAATGTAACCTAGTCCGATGGATGACATAGAACAAACTGGTAAGTAGACACATGGTTACATCACATTCTTTCGTTATTTTAACCATATGAACTGGTTCACAGAATAAAAAATTTGAGTGTAAGCCACATGCTATCTATTGCAAGACTTACGCCTGCCACAACCGTCACCATGTTAATCAGTGTTTTTTAAGTAGCGCAAGGATCCTGCCATGACCGTGGTAGTGTTATCGTGTAAGCCTGGTATAACCGTGGCAGGCTGGTATAACCGTGACAATGCTGTATGATATTGCAAGGCCTGTCATGACCCTGGAAGTGTTATCGTGGTAGCCTGGCGTGACCGTAGCCTTTATTGTGGTTTATAAGCGAATGTGAATATTAATGTATAGTAGTAATTTTGATTTTGACATGATTAAGGTAGTTAACACCATGATCATATAGTATTAAACTGTTTAATTGTAATGACGATCACTTAAAATTGTTAAGGATATTCCTGGCATTAATGTCATACATATTTACTAATCATTGCAATACATTATAACGGTCATAGTAGGACTAAGCCTAAATTTCTACATTACCACCATCATACCTGGCCTTGCAATACTATATTACATTGTCATGGTCATACCAGGCTTTGTGATTCCATTATACATCGTCACATTCATGCCAGGTTTTGAAATACACATTGTCACGGTCACTTATAGCAATCATATATTTCTACATTACCACTCTCATACCCGAACTTGCAATACTATATTACATTGTCTCGGTCATGTCAGGCCTTGCATAATTATATAACATTGTCACTGTCATGCCAGGCCTTGCAGTACTATATTACATTGTCACGGTCATGCCAAGCCTTGCAGAACTATATTACATTGTCACGGTCATGGCAGGCATTGCAATATAATACAGCATTGTCGCGGTTATACCAGGCTTTCACGATAACATTGCCACGGTCATGACAGGATCCTTGCGCTACTTAAAAACACTGAATAACATGGCGACGGTTACACCAGGCGTTAGTCTTGCAACAGATAGGGTCTCGTGTAAGCTTGCTTAGGGAATTTTTTCAAAAAAAAATTTCTATCCCAAGAGTCTAAGCTGAAAACACGTACAAAATAATTGATCTTCGATCGATTTTAAAATCCTGAAATGAATACTATATCACAGTAATATGAAAGTGCAGCAAAGAAACACATACAATACCTAAAATCACGATTTTGAAGTCCATTTCTGTAAAAATTGAAATTTCAAAAATGTTTGATCACGTGATAGTTCCGACTGATGAATGGTAGATGTAAATTTAGGTAAAATATGATTTTAAGCATCAATTTAATCACATCGTATGATCTGCTTGTTTTCTTAATTCATGTTATTTGAAAACTACCTTTTTATAGCTTTTAGGAGTTGAGCTCTGGTCGAGTTTGATGTCGTATCAAACGAGAAAATTTACGATAGAATGACGTCATTTGAAAGCAGAACGTCTTAAAAACAGAAAATCGCAATAAAATTGCATTTTCTCCACTCATACGTGAAACTAATGCAGAATGACTTTACAACGAGTAGGGGAGAAGGCGTTGGTAGCAGTAAAGGCCACAGAACCAATTCCAGGGCTGAGCAAAGAACAGAAAACAGTGCTAGATGAAGAGGCTTATTCAGAGGTTTGCTTATTTGTTGTGTTTCTTGTTTGTTTCACCCAAACTTTCAGGTTTGCTAGATCTACGATAGGGATCGGATCACGCTCCTCGTCAGTCCATGGCTATAGTACCTTTTGTCATTTCCCCACACAAAAATCAGTAGAATTCCATACAATTACATACAACTTACTTCCTGCGAAAGCTATTTGGATTTTGATATAATAGCTTTCCCACGGAGCATTTGGACAGCTCAATGATCGTGACCTTTGAAATCGAATTAAGTCGATCCGCGGCTTACTTTTGGTCTCTAACTGTGTCTTACATCAGTATCATCAATCCGTGTAAGTATTGGAGCGCTGGAGTACTTCTTTTTCGATCAAGACTTGTAATTGTTAGTCGAGTGAATCGTTTTACTGCCAAATTCCAATATGGCGGTGACATTTTCGTAAATCTCCGGAGGTTGTCCGAACCTAACTAATTCTCAAAATTCATTTCGTTCGTTGCGTATCTCGCACCTAGCAAACCGCCATATTGGAAATAGGTCTGTAAAACTTTAACTCGATGAACAATTTACAAGTCTTGATCGAAAAAGAAGTACTCCAGCGCTCCAATACTTACACGGATTGATGATACTGATGTAAGACACAGTTAGAGACCAAAAGTAAGCCGCGGATCGACTTAATTCAATTTCAAAGGTCACTATTGATCAGCTGTTCACTTCTCCGTTTGAGAGCCATAAGTTTCAAAATCTAACATGGCTCTCGAAGTGAGTAACATACAACGAGATTTTTTTCTTGTTTTTCTTCTTCTAAATCTGATGAGCTGAGCGATTCTGAGAATGTGACGTCAACAGGGCAGAATGGACTCGTCCATACTATGTGGGGAGCCCGGGGGGTTCACTGTGTACAAAAATTTGCAGGGGTCCTAGGCTGAACCCTCAGATATCAATATATTCCCATACCAAAATGTCAAATTTGAATGTGTTCCCATACCAACCAATATAGTGCCCAAATATGAAACCAATGCCATACCAAATGTCAAAATATAGGACCTCAAGTCTCTAGCCAATTCTTGGCTAGAAGTTATTCCATCTTGAATACCGTGAACCATTGTAAAATATCTAGTCGGGGTTCAATAAATTTAAGCAATATTCTAAAAACCTTCATATTAATTATGAATTGAAATGGAACTGGCTGGGCTCCTTGATGAGATATTACATGATTTCGTCTAAAATTATAACAGCTCCAAGAAAAATGGCGATATTCGAAAACTGGACGAAATGTCGTTTACGTCTGACATTAGTAACTGTAAATTCTAAGTTAGCGATCCAGAAGATGTGAACTAATACATTGATCACTTCATGTGTGTTTTGGATTTTTGGTGAGGTAATAAGACCAAAACTCGCAATTCCAATTGTGATGTGGAAAAATGGCGAACATTTGATTTCAAATTTTATGGTTATCACATGACACATCCAGCATAGTAAAACACATGCAGGGATTTATCTTTGGATGAAGGCCACGATATAGTGGCCTTAGAAGAAGGTAATACAACAGATACTTCAAATATAAAAACACTCATCATTTTTGTGTTAAATATTCATTTATAATTGTAAATGTGGCTATTCTTTCCAATTTCTGAAATGTATAATTTGAGTGCCTCATTTTGTCTGAAATCAATTTTTTCTTTTGAAACTAGATGTTGTCGAATAAATTGACAAACTTGCAGCGTCTCGGAATAGTATTTTGTATATACTCTAACTGAGCAGGTCAATGTTTAGGGGTGTATATACTGGCAGGCGAAATTCTTGAAACAGGGGGCGAAAAGGCCGAAATGCTTGAAATGGCTCAAGTGAAATAAGCTGTGAAACAGTAATTTCATTTTTCAAGACGTATCGATTGAATTGATTTAAACGGTTGAACTCCTGAATTTATAGTGTATACAGGGCTTTTGTGTCATTCATAAATATTATTCACTAGCTTAAGACATTCAATCCATGAACATGAGATACCATGGAAATTGTCTTCCGCGGGGATATCTTATGAATCATACCCATTCCATGGTAATACTTGGCATTTGATTGGTTTTCTTAAAATATTTATGTAATGATATTTATACATCTACATACAGTCTGAAAATAAAATTATTGATTTCAGGGTATAGAAAAGATCATCAAGCGAGATTTTTTCCCAGATCTTTCAAAACTTGAAGCTCAGGCTGAGTACCTTGAAGCTCTAGAGAAAAATGACAGAGTGAAGCTGAGAGAAATTCACATCAAATATGGACCTAAAAGATCACGTCTTGTCACACCTGATATTTGTAAGTACAACATTACTGTTATGATATATATTTATTATTTAAGGAATAAAGACTGAGATTCTATGATTAAATATGTTACTGAAATTTTTATTCTTTTCATTGTTTAGACCAAAATTGCGTAGTGATTAATGGTCTTTGGCAATGGTTAGAATAAAATTTGAGGTCATACATTTGCCATAAATCATAGGTCTTTGTTTCAATTCTAATATGTTAAAAATACCAAGAACAACTATTTGAATTTATGAAATTTAGTGGTCATACAAACTCGATTACAGAGAAAGAAGTTATGCTGCCACAGAGATTTAAAGACCTTAGATATTTTCCTGCCTCTGCATCTTTGATAAACTGGCAGCACTGATTCAGTGTCAATTAATTCTTCCTTGATTTTGAAGTTTTGGCATATCATTGAGAGTATTGATTTTCCTACCATTGAATACTAATTTTATATCCTAAATAATGCTTTTGTTTGTACTCAAAAAGAGGAGCATTCTTATAAATGTCTACTCATTCTGCCATTTAGTTTCAGTTTGTGCTGCTCTTTCTCATCAATAATTTTTGTATAATCTCCAATTTTGTCACTTGCACTTACAAATTACTAGTTTGTATTCAGGGAAAGAGGGAGGGGGTCTGTTTAAGTTCCATTTTTATGTCACCACCAAGAAGTGGTGACATATTGTTAATTGTTATGGTCTCTGTTTTTTGTGGCGTCGGTTGGTGGTTGGCAATCAGCAGGTGGCGGTTGGCATCTGTAACAAATTCTTACAACTTCCAATAACTTAACAAATACTGTTTAGACTGACTTCAATTTTTTCCAAATCATCTACAAGTTTTCAGAAGTTCAGATCTTACTGTACATTTAAGATTTGGCCTTCAATGACCTTTTCAAGGTCAAAAAAGGTTAAAAAGGGTCGAAAAGGTCTTTTTTTCAACTTGCTTCAAATTAACCCAATTTTTCAAAATCATTTACAAGTTAACAGAAATTCAAATCTGACTTTAGATTGAAGATTTGACCATCAATGACCTTCTCAAGGTCAGTGAAAGGTCAAAAAGGTGTTTTTGCAACTTGCATCAAATTGTCTAATTTTTTTTTTAAATCAGTTCTCAAAAGTTCAAATCTGACTATAGATTTGACCTTCAATTCCATTCTCAAGGTACATTCAGATGGCTGCCTAATGTGGGATTTCGCAATAATTTTGTGACCTCTTCAAAGTATGGCTATATTATACTCAAATTGAAGGAATTTTAGAGTAGATCACAATTATGATATTGTTTTTCTGATTTGTGCCACAGAAAATTCAAAATGACTACCTAGAGCAGGAACTTGCTTTTACTTAGAGATCTCTTTATGGTTATATGATACTACAAATGATCTCAAATATTTAATCAAGGGAAGGATAGATGTAAGTAATTACATTGTGACATATACAGATTCATGAATATAATGTTTGGTGGGATTTGCTACTCCTTGGAGTTACCTATTTCTAGGCTATTACTTGCTAATTGACATTGTGCTACCATTTAGATTCAACACCACTAACATTTGAGACACCAGACAGTCATTGTAAAGAGACTCCAAAGCCTGACAGTGAACAGACAGGGAATGTGGCAGAACCAGGATCTGCTCCCACATTAGGCCCAGCTCACAACCCGGAGAAAAAGAAAGGTAAGATTTTGCTGTCAATTTTAGTGTTGAAATAACTACGGTATTCTACCAAATTCATATTGATCAAGGGGAATACTGTGTAGCTTCACATGCATATCACAGGTTGTCATTGAACATTTTGTCTGGCATGGGAGCATGCTATTTTTCATGAAAACACTATGAAAACTTATCACACAATATTATATGCACACATATTTCTAAACCCATATATTTTTCATTCCAAATTAAATAGCCTACACCCTGCATGCAATGGCTTCAATTCATCATTTGTGGATAACCATCACTTCTGTTTGAAGTCCAATAATGCTAAGAGTATAGCTATTGAAAGCGGCGACACAGTATCATACTCTAAAATATACCATTTCATTTCTTTTTACGATATAGCGACTTGATAATACCCTGCATTTAGATGTTTTCATTATAACTCTGAAGGTGTTAATAAGAAGAGAGGATATACCAATATGGAAAGGGGGTTTGAATGAAATCATATAGTCATATTGGACAATGAAGGAATGTTTATAGTTAGATGAGTACTCTCGAATATATGAGTGTTCTGTGACCATTACAATTACAAATATACTAATGGGGGAATCAATATATGTTCTGAACCATAAATAACAATCAAATACATCAAACAATGAGAAATATATGGGAGTTCTGAACAATGAACAATTTGATAACTGCATAATTAGTTTCCACAAACACTATTGTTTCATTATTTTTCAGATAAAGCAGCATCAGATCTCAGCCTAGATAAATACATGAATAAGGTTACCAGCGAAGACAATGCATCTTTTGAAGAGATTTTGAAACTAAATGATGAGAAACACAGAATAAAACATGCCTGGCTCTTCAAAGAGGAGGCTGAACGAAATGAAGTAAGTCTTTTACTGTATAGTTATGTGATGAGAATAAGCAAATCTTAATCTTATTTTCAGAAAAGCTTATTATGCTTTGAAGTGCCCTAACCCTGATTTATAAATTTTAGAAGTAACTGTACATGTACATGTACATCACTGTACATTAAGCAACATTATTATCCCACCGAACAAAGTTCGAGGGGGATATAGAAAAGCCATCCGTCCATTCATTTGTGTGTCCGGGCAATAACTCAAACACTGGTTGATGGATTTCATTCAAATTTTATAGGCTTATGCCTTATGCCTCTGCTCGAGAAGAAATATACAATATGGCCACTCAATTCAAAATTGCCACCAATATTTTCTAAAAAATGCAATCTTTGATAACTCAAATACTAGCGCACAGATTTGGTTCAAATTGTTTATGATTGTTCCTAGGGGCAAAGGAGTTTTGCTCATGAAGGGATTTTAAAGATGGCCGCTGTATTGAAAATGGTGGCTATTTTTCCTAAAATATGCCATCTTTGATATGATAGCTCAAATACCAGTGAACAAATTCTGTTTAAATTTTATATGCGAATGCCTAGGCAAAAAGCAGCATTGCTCAAGAAGAGATTTTCAAGATGGCTGTTGAATTTCAAAATGGTCTCATGAATTTCAAAATGGCGGCCATTTTGAGTAAAAAATGTAATCTTTCATAACTCAAATGCTAATTGACGGATATGGTTTACATTTTATATGTTGATGCCTAGTGACAAACAAGCTCTGCTCAAGAAGGAATTTTCAAGATGGCCAATAATAATCAATTACATGTATACACTAATATATGTTTTGTTCGATGGGATTTACTACTCTGTGAAGTTACTGTTTTTCTAGTTGTAACAGATACAGCTTCAATAAATTTTGATGTAATTGTACAGGAGATGGCAGCCAGGTTAGCGCTACCAAGCATTGAGGAGCAGGCAGCTATAGAAGGCAGGCCAGTAGGCAAGGAGGTTGAATCTTGGGGCTATAAAAATATGAATTCCATTATGTATATACCAGATGGTAAGTTCTTCAGCTCATTCAATACTTCAAAATTTATGGTTGCTATGGTAACTCATGTTTTTTAGCACTTAAATAAAAATTAGAAATATATTTTATTCACTTTGTGAACGATTCAGCAAACATAAATATGAGTTTTTTTTTGTTAATGTAGGTGTGTCTGAAAGTGCCAAAGAAAAAATTGAAAGACAGAAAAAGAAGCCCAGAGAAATCATTAAATCTAACACAAGGTTTGAAAAAAAACCTTTTAACACAGCCCAAAGTGCAGAAGTGATTACCCAGGCTGCCTCGGAGCGTGCTTCTGCCCTCCAGGGAAAAATAGGGGTTGATGGGAAGGAAATCTTGCCTCAACAATCCCCAAGGGTAAATGGATATGGATTTGTAGGGACACCATCTCCTGCTCCTGGTGAGTAAATAGACAACCCATAGTCACATTACATCCATATTACATCTTATATCCTAGTGGATGGATAGATAGCTCACATGACATGCATATTCCTGGCTCCAGAAATTCCCCATGTAAAATCATGCAGGTTTCAAAGGTGCATATTAAATGGTATATCTGGAGAAAATTTGGAAAATAAAGCGAAAAGTCTCTCATCACTTTGTAATGCAATATGTGAGTAAATGTCATTCTAAGTTTCAATGAGAAGTCCAATTATTATTGACAATGAATTTTGCTTGTAGGTGTGGATGCTTCACCATTTATGACATGGGGCGAGATAGAGGGATCTCCTTTCCGATTGGATGCATCAGACACACCCATTAACCTAACCCCAGGTCCAGTATTTAAGGTACTAAGCAGTTACTGCACAGTTAGATATTTCATAGTGTATGTCCAGTACCAGTACATTTAAAGTAGTACAGTTACAGTACACTGAGAATTACAGTACATGTATTTATGTACTGTACAAACTTTGTATTCATTTGTGATTGTCCACCCTTGTGTTGCAATGTTTGGCTACATATGTTTAACCTTACTGATTCATGATGCTAATTATTTGATGACAGGTTCAAATGAAATGCGTTGTTTATCATTTTGTACAAACTAGAGAAAAATAAAAACCAAGTGCGTGTACAAATAGTCCTCAATCAGATTACTACATGTATATTCTTTCATTTCAAAATTATGAAATAAGTAAGTCGTATTTGAATATTTTCATATGTTTTAAGATTCCTAATATACCCAAGAGAGACCAAATAGCTCTGGATCTTGCAGAGAAGGCCAGCAAAGCACATAGAGCTAAGAAACAGGCTGCCATTAAGGAAGTCAAATCTCACTTATCAAGGTATGGCAATATTTAGAGTATAAGTTACAGAAAAAGTAGTTTAATTATGTATTCCACTTTGAAAAAGTGCTACATACTCTTGTCGTCTTTTGCAGATAGGTGGGTGGACAGACGCAACATAAATTATGTCATCAATATTCCAGGAAAACCATTGATTCCTCCAAAATGAAATTACACATTGAATTTATCAATGCATTTTTCTTGAACAAAAGCCATTTAGGGGTTAAAATGATAATAATTTCGTGGGTTGTACTGAAAACCTTTGCTCCATGTAATTGATTTTTTGTATATGAGAATTTATGAGTGGGTTGTTTAATAGAAAAAATTTAATTTTATTGTAATTAGTTCTTGAAATGTAAAATGCAAATCATTCATAGAAATAAGATGTTAGATATTTATATTAGCCTTTATGAAACCTTTTTGCGTTGCAGTCCTAGCCCAAAGTTCAGCTCAGCCCACTCTACAGACCGACTCAAGGGAATGTCACCTGCTGCCCAGAGATTAGCCACAAGTAGACTAGGAGTCAGAATGAACACTGATAAATCACTGCGTGCAAGCTACACACCATCCCCCAATAGACTCACACCTTCAAGGGAAAAAACGCCCAGGGGTACCCCATCATTAACCCCCACTAGAAGCCCCAGTTCTAAGGCATCTCCTCGGACAAAGGCCCCAATAAAACGAACAGTGACACCTATCACAGGATCAGTGACTGATAACTTACTACAGCTACCCAAGACTAAAAGAATTAAAGCTTCAGATTTTTTCTAGTTAAGTAAAAAATGTGTAATATAATGGGCTAGTAGATGCCTTTTGTACCAAAATAAGTGTTCCCTGTAAGTGTGTATGAAGAAAAAGGAACTTTAAATCACTTGGGACTTATTTATTTAAATCACACGTTAAGTCACCTTTATTTAGGGACATTACATGACAATTTCCCTATTGATTGCATATTAATGTTCAATGATTCCCCTTTATAGTTGAGTTGACTAAAGTAACATGTAATCATGCAGGTTATCTAGTTTAAAATTACATCCATAGCATAAAGCATAATGAAAGCCCAATCATTTATTTGGTTTTCAACAGTTGTGCTTATAGGAATGATTCAATTGATTGTACACTATAAAAGATTTTGAGGTTTTAAAACCATAGACTTTGGTAATTTGTGATTCAGGAAGTTAACTGTTCTAATTTCTTTAAAAAATATACTGTAAACGTTGATTTTATGAAAATATCTATCCAAACATGTGTTGTAATCATAACACAATGAGATAACTTCCCTCGTTTATTTTATTTTATATACATTGTATTGTTATGTGGGGAAATAAAAAATCATCAAGGATATCCTTAAAGAATAATGAATTAATTTGTTTTGTACATTGTGTACAGGATGAGCCAAAAAGGGAACCAAATCAAATCTTAATAACCTTGTTCAATATTTCAAATGGTCACGATTTCATGGCCATTTTACAAAACATGCTCCAGATGGCCAAATATACCAAACTCACCTATTACAAACGCCCAGAATTTTACCTTTGGGGCTAATTCATTGAAAATATGCATATTAACAAGTAACAACCCTAGAACCACCAGGGAGTTAAAACAAGAGATAAGAAGGGAAAAGAGCTACTCCACAAGATATCTGAGAGTTTGTAGTCAGAAAACTACCCGATGCGTTTAAGTTTGCCTCCAGCTTTTAACTTTCAGCTTTGATGTTTAAATATTCTATATTTCTACCGGACTTCTTGCTGAATATCATATAATGTTATAACTTGATTTGGATTTTGGACGATTGCCTGATTGATCCTTTCTGAAATTTTGATTGCGTTCACGATTGATTGGCAAGAAAAATAATTCCTAATAATTCAGCATAAATTATAATAAGTGGGAAGTAGAATAAAGGATGGGCGGAGCCAGGGGATTGGTGGCCCTACCAGCCCCACCAATTCACACGCATACACATAATGAGACAAACACAACCAGGCTCCTACCCTTTGCATTCGTTTGACTTCACTTCTTCAAAGAGAGCTTCGTCTTCGTCTATGTAGTTTAACTAGACTCTGCATGCAGGGTACCAGGCTCCAGGCCGTGGATGGAAATATAAAACTATTTAAGGCACAAACTGGTATTAATAGACCGATATGTAGTGTCTGCCATGTATTGAAGGTAAACCAATCTGCATTATTAATGTTTCTTCTATCAATACATGGATTGTGCAATGGAAAAGCAATGGCACAATCAAAAATGTGCATATCAATCGTGAATATCTCTCGGTTCAAAGCTTATTTCCAACAGAATCGTGTCAAAATATGTGTCTGAGTTACAGTTATACATTATAAGATCGCAAACTCTTACCAATTATCAGCCGAATGGCTCATTTTCAACGAAATGTCCTTAAGACAACAGCCCTGGGTCGCGCCTGAGACCAAAAACTATTTCAAATAGCCCTCCCCTAATTATATTGGATAATCACATTTATGCGTGCGCGCGCAGCTCATCCACTGTTACATTTACTCCGATTGCTTTTCTCTTCGCTAAATAATAGAATAGGTTTATCTAATAAAAGAAACGCCAATCCGTTACACTTCAAGTTTAATACACACCATTTTCTCTATCTTTACATCTTGGGCTATATCTAGAAATTGAACAATTGCAATGATTCGATGATATAAGTACCGATGCTGCTAAGGGATTACTTTTAACAATGGAGTGTACACGTAGGGTAATAAATAACGCCATATATGGAAGTTTAGTTTCATTGCTTTGATCCATAGTCCGAATCTTGACTTCGTCATACTCCCTTGTTACCAATACAGAACGATTCTAAATGTCGTAAGATGCTAATCAATTGCCATAAAAACGATGTTGCGTAAGGGTGAGGGAGGGCCACTTAGTTTGCTTGGCGTAAATTATTATCTCTCGTAACAGTAAAAAAGGTAGTTATATAACATTAATCGGATAAGGCCCTTGTGTTTCAATGTCATACGAAGGACCGGATAGATTGTATGTTGAATAAAACATCACATACGCGGATCAATTTATCATCACATTTGCCCATTAAAGTGGTAATTTCAGTTTAGCTTGAAACAAATTAATAAAATATATAGCATGTCATCATCAGCTCAAAATGATTTGATTTACTGGATTAAACTTCTGTCGATCTCTAATTAATATAAGCTATTTTTACGTCTTTACAGTTTTTACATATGTATAATAGTATATTACAGGATACGATGGCGATTTCTATGTATACGTTTTGAAGGGGTAGGGTGTCAGACCAAGACTTTAATATAAATCGATTTATTGATACGCTCCCTGGACAATTTCTCGAAATATATCGACGTTCGGTTAAGAAACCTTTACAAACAGAATTTAGATTAGTGCCATCGTGTAGATCCACGCAAAATCCTAGTCAATTGCAGCTACACATAGTGATTTGATATAAAAAATGACATCTACTGTATTATTACACGCAACCAACCTATTCTCCCCTGTGATTATTAGAAGATGTTTTATATGAAACACATACATTATTGTTATAGTCACTTTATACTATAAATAGCCGATGGTTTGTAATAATATAACAATGAAGTGGAATTTTGAGTGGCTGTTAAATTGAATTATTTAAGATGTAACGAAGATGTGAAACGTTAGGCTTAGAAGGCGGAACATAGCGGACCACTGGGTCCCGAACCTCACACTGTAGATCATTTTTTACCAATTGTTTACGCGACAAATTAATTATCTAGAATTTCTATAAATATACACATGCTGATATTCTAATAGATATGTGATGTGAGGGGGGGGGGCAAGGAGAACAATCTTTGTGAAAATGTTTATATCTGGTCAGTCAATGAACTCAGAGATGGGTATTTGCTTGATAAAAAGTTTTCTTTCTTGATCGGTCTTTGGTTCCCCCAAGACGTAAAGGCCATCCCTAATAAGTGGTACTTTCGATGCATCATTTCATACGTATCCAATGATCCTCATCGTGAACAAAAAACAAGTTTATTCTTTCAGCAAGCAAATGAGGAAAATAGTTAACCCTCATTCGATCGAGTCATTAAAAAGTATGAGCTAGCATATGAGATGCAACATCAATGATTTGGTCGTTGAATTATTATACCAACGTGTACATTGAGCCATAGATGTTTGTTTCAACACTTAAATGTGCTAAAATAATTTGTTTTTCATTCTGCTTATTTGTATCATATTTGACCAATGTAGCACCACGAACGATTCACGAATAGATCTTCTCAGACAAAAACCAAGGGCATTGAAATGTCAAGATATACCACGAGTCAATGCTTTGCAATTATAAAAACATGCTATCAACTCCATTGAAGTAAAAATAGTGTTGACTTATTTTTTAACAAGGAATCACACTTGCTCACGTGACCAGTGTTCTCCACGACAGTGTCTCACTAAAAATGTTACAAGTACAAAATGGTCAATATCTTTTATGATTTTGGCAGTTGACCTAAAATATGAATAAATGGATTCTTAAAGAGCAAGCTCTCTCGATTAAGTTGACACTAGATTTAAGTCTGTCTAGCTGACCTTTTTTCCGTCAGAGGACTCAAATACCTTTTTCTGTTTTAGTTAACATAGTGAGCCCGATGATATAAATTATAGATTTAATAAAAAGGGAAGTTAAACCGGATTTTAATGAGCCAAATATAAAAAACACATGCTTCATATTCTTGCCAACTTGGACAGTTCCCTTTAAACGTTTTCACGTTGAACTGAGATGGTCACTGTCAAAAGTAGTTGCAATGCATATGCATTCATTCGTAACTTAGGCTTCTATTATATAGACCTATACATTTTCTGTCATTCGTCGACCATTCTGTCATCATAAAACACTGGGTTAATTGCTAATAGCAATGAAATTGATTTAGAGTAGTAGAAAGCGAGTAGATTTATTCAAAAGTAATTTCAAAAATATCGACTTGTGTTTCATAAATAGCAAAGAGTAAAACTATTAACGATTTTATTCATCAAATTTCGTTGAACCTTCCAAGGCAGGAACTAAGAAGTAAACTCCCTGATCAGTGACGACACGGGTGTCTCTTGTGTCTCTTTTCTCCAGAAGTGTCTGAGTGTTGGCAGCAATTATCAAACCTTCTATGCTTAATTTATTCACCAATTTGCTTCACCAAAATGGATTGTTCTTTTAAATAAAATTTTGTTAAATAACATTGCGACTTATAATGTTAAACAAAGTCGCCTTTTTGGAAATTTTCTTTTTACATACATTATTGTATTGAATAAAACATGATGAATAAAAAAGAAATGACACGGGTGTCATTATCATGTTATTCAACTTTGATTTCATAGAGCCAGAGCCACTTCATAACTAGTTCAATGTCTCTGTTGAATCCTCTTGTAATTGATCAAGCGTGACATTAATGAACTTTCTCAAAGTTAGCCGTTAACGTGTACATGGCGCTGGTGTATCTAAAAGAAACATACATGGTCATTTTAATCATTCATTCGTTCATACATATATTAACTTATTCCCTTAGAAATTGTCACTTACGATGAATTAATTGAAATACGTTATTTCATATATTCAGTATATACGTTATCCCAGGGAAGCATGAATGGTTCCTCACCGAAACTAGAACTTACTACAAACACTACTACCTTCAAGATATACACTTGAGTAAAGAGCAGAAAGAGGCTTCGCTTTAAAACAGAACATTAAACTTAATTTGCTCTCGGGTTGTGATACGATGCTTCGTTTGAAAAACATCACCCTTGGTTTTTATTATTCGTGCAAGGTTTATCATATCTAAGCAGTTGCTTTTGCTTGTCGTATCAGAAATAATTTCAAATCCGAGCCATTGATATGACACTTTTCTTAGCTGTGGATGATTTAAAGCGTTATTTTCTTGCGTGCTAGGCTTAAATCGGCCTACTGCGTAAAACAATATCAAAAGCTATTGTCAAGTTGGGGCTTGTCATGCTTCGGGCGTGCCTTTTGACACTTAGTTTTCAAATGTGTTATCAAATTCAACTGGTTCTTTTAAATTACAGGGTGACCCAAACATAATGAGAAGATACTTAACTGAATAAAACAGGAATAATTGGTAACATCTAGAATCTTAAATAATCTAAACTATTATGTAATACACTGTCTGTTTTCGTGTGTTTCAGGTCTACCCCCCGAGCGCTACTCCATATGGGAGGCGTACCCATACGTATTCGGAGAACCCTTCTGCATCTTTAAGACATTCGTGAGCGAGACAACATCTTATGCATCAATATTGACTATTACAGCATTTACCATAGAAAGATACATCGCCATATGCCACCCAATTCGCTCACATACGATGTCTAATCTCCCACAGGTGGTG